TAAATTAATTTCTATAGCTAACGATTATCAAAGACCTATGTATATAATAAACAAATGCTACGTATTTTACTTTAATGTTTTATTCGAGTTGGCAGGTATTGTCCACAGTGGTCTACACAACAGTGGGGCAGCCGGCAAAATGGCATACCCCCAACATCAACATAAGTTGTGCCCTCCCTGACGGGAAAAGTAGCACGCTGGGTTGACCTCATTCGTGCTACGGACACATTTCAACACAAATTATCTTTTATAATTATATTATTTTGCTTTAGCTTTAAATTGTATAAGATATAATTTTCAAAGTCAACATCACATATATCAACATCAACCATCACATATATCAACATCAACCACAAAAAGTCAACAAAATCAACAGTTCAATGGTTAAATTGAAGGTGACGATTTCGCAAACACGACCACTGTGAAGTATAGTTTACTGTCTTTCCCCGAACTCCTCGAATGGATAATTCGCCAAATTGACCCTTGTCATGCATGGTATTCGGCCAGAGATCATTCCTAAGATCCCAGAATACGGAAATTCCAAAGGTCCCAGAATACGGAAATAGCAGGCAATTCAGATCAGCATCGTTAGTCTCCTTCAACGAAATCTCGAATATCTGAAAAGACAAAAACAAAAACCCACAGCAGAAAAAGATTCTCAATAACATTTGCACAACTCTAATAAATTTGGTATAACCAAATGATGTAAAACAATGAAAAACGTTATTTAAACAAACAAAAGTAGAAAGGGTATATACTTAACACCTAGCTCAAGGGGTTGAGGTGGGAGGGTATTTCATAAAACAAAAACATAAATCGGATACTTTCATCACCCACCTTTCACTTTCATTGATGCATAGAAAAGGGGAGATAACCCGTAAACCTAGTGACTAATTACCGACACTGTATGGATGGATAAATAAATTCCGGCTTATCACATTTATTAGTTTTTTCCACAAAAAGGAGGTGAATGATGACATATAATAAAAGGATAGAGCTTTGATAACGGCGCATATTGTGAGATGAACTCAAATATGCGGTATTATCAAAGACCTATGTATATAATAAACAAATGCTACGTATTTTACTTTAATGTTTTATTCGAGTTGGCAGGTATTGTCCACAGTGGTCTACACAACAGTGGGGCAGCCGGCAAAATGGCATACCCCCAACATCAACATAAGTTGTGCCCTCCCTGACGGGAAAAGTAGCACGCTGGGTTGACCTCATTCGTGCTACGGACACATTTCAACACAAATTATCTTTTATAATTATATTATTTTGCTTTAGCTTTAAATTGTATAAGATATAATTTTCAAAGTCAACATCACATATATCAACATCAACCATCACATATATCAACATCAACCACAAAAAGTCAACAAAATCAACAGTTCAATGGTTAAATTGAAGGTAATTGGTAAAAGTTCAGGAAATTTGAGTTGCAATTCCTATTTTAAAGTTCACTTTCCCCAATGAGAAAGATAACTCTAAGGAATAAATGTTAATTATGTTAATTTCCTAATACTCTTGACAATTTATTTATTTCACAGTGCTTCAATTAGCCTATAAATTATTATTATTAAACTTCTTTTTATAGTCTTTTATTTGTAGAATTGTATTTCAATACCCAAAGTTCTCTTCTTGTATAAATATTAAACAAGTGACTAGACCCATGTTTTTAGAACATTGTCAGGAAATAAAAGCCCATGCTGAAATTAATCTCTGTGTAAATAATCAACATTTGTGAAATAATCTATATATAATAAATTAGTAAAACAAGTTTACCTGATTTTTCATGTTAACTTATTGTCTTAAGATGGTACAAAACTTTTCATTTTCTAAACACAACTTTATAAGATACAAGGCCTTTATGCTGTTAATGGGTGAGAAGACTTTAAGGAGGCTAGGGGGTCAACAATTAAAAACCACCAGATATAATTTAAATTTTGGGATATGATATCTTAAGCTGTCAACTATTATTTGGCAAAGACAAATTTCATAAATGTTAGCTGTAAAATTTGATCAGTTATATCTTTATTGAGCTCTTCTTCTAAAGGAGATCCAAATAGCCTAAAAATGGCCACAACCACCCAGCCCCTTTAAATGTAGGTGTTTATATTGTATTATCATCAAACCTTCTCAATCAAGGTAAAGGCGCTGTTAGAGAAATTCATGATTATGCTCATGTACACTGGAGATGGCTTCCAAGGAATGAACAGCATGACCTTCTTTTATTTCCTTTATGTATAATTTTAACTACCCCATTGAACAAAATGACAACACAGAATATAAATTGCGAAACATGCCCTTCGCCCCATCTTACTTAATCTGAACCCTTTGATATATAATAACCAGCAAAATAGTAGCTAGCCTTGCTAGATATTACATGTAGTTAATTAAAATAAAATTAGGGGAATCCTATTTATACCAACTGTTACTAATGAACCATTGAGGTCCTAAATTACTATGCCCACATTGTTATTGTTCTTGTTGAATCTGAAGTTGCCCTCCCTATCAAGCCCCTTAAGAGAAGTGATATCCGAATAGGCGAGGATGCTGCTGGTCCTAATATATTATTATTATGTGGATTTGACAGACAATGTACAATTCAACTCTGGTGCATGTTACCTATGCCGGGTATGCCTCCCAGATTTTACAGCCTGAATTGTTGATTGTAATGCTTCCATCCAACTGAATTTTTTGACTCAAAATCTATTTACTTTTTTAGTCAACATTCATATTTACTTACCTTGAGTTTTGTCATATAGCATGTGTACAACTGTAAATATGTCTAAACAAATACACATCTTACTTGATGTTTCATTCATATCATAAAATGCATCATTGTAATGCTACATTCAAAAGCACCAAAACTTGTTATGTACTTTACTTCAAACTATTTTATTTCACAATTGATTACTGCCTTTGTCGCAACTGCATATCTTTCATGCCTCTCTTTGGACCCTTGTTAAAGTTTAATGGCCTTGATTGAAATTTATATACTTTAATTAGAGTTATGTCCCTTTGTGAATCTAACTATAAATAACATTTCTAAAGATTTGTCAAACTTTTATTACTTCTCAATCTGTATTTCTATTTTTTATTCACTGTTTTTAGGACAAAAGGTAGACTGGTATGGCACAGCTAGGGTAACCCTATCCTTGAACATTCATTTATTATTATTTTTTAAAAATCACTCGATATTTTAAATAAACTGATAAATGCACCAAACCCAAAGTTACAAAAGCATACTCATACTATAAGAATTATAATTATGGCTATTCCCATTTTTAAATCCCCTAAAGATAGGCTAAGGGATCTAAGTAACTAAATATAGGCCACCATGTGTACGGATGTTTATTGGCAAATGACCTTGAATAAAATGGACCGAATAAAGTTGAAAATCATACCTATTTTTACATTAGCTCATTTTTTTTATATATTATTTCACTTAGTAAGTTTTTATTCATTCAAAATCTGCCGATGAAGTTGGTTATTATTTTACCACATTGTAATCTTGTACCATGTGTCAGTGTTTAAAGCATGGACGGGTGGCAAATCGATCTGTTTCAATCCAATAAAATACTTGCCATCGAGCAATATCAATGTTAATAAGATAATCTGATTTACTTCTCTGACTGAAACTGAACTTTAAAAACTGGAAATTATTATAAAATATTTCATAAAACAAAAACATAAATCGGATACTTTCATCACCCACCTTTCACTTTCATTGATGCATAGAAAAGGGGAGATAACCCGTAAACCTAGTGACTAATTACCGACACTGTATGGATGGATAAATAAATTCCGGCTTATCACATTTATTAGTTTTTTCCACAAAAAGGAGGTGAATGATGACATATAATAAAAGGATAGAGCTTTGATAACGGCGCATATTGTGAGATGAACTCAAATATGCGGTATTATCTATACCATCTAGTAGACGTGCGATGTAATTATTTAATGCTTGTTTAATTTAACCCGTGCGTATCAATCAGTCTTTATCTTTAATCAAGACATTTAGTAGTAAACAGGGTAACGACAATTGATTAATTTCAATTATATGATTAAAAGTTCAACATTTTGACTACGGTATTATTTTTTCTGATTTGGGCCCAGAAATAAAAGAAAAATCTGAATGTGTAACATTATTTTGACTTCATTTCGAGATCAGTCCGGTGTTTCGTTTTTATTCAATCGGGATCAAAATGAACACAATATATAGACTTGACTTTCCTGTTTGATATGCGCGATATACATATACAGACTTTGTAAGATGGAGATGGAAAATATCAGTTCGCACAAAATATACCTAAAGTAAAATGCTTGCAAGTACTGTTTAAGAAATATATGATTTTTTCCTTTCCGCGAATTCAAACAACCGCGATTTGCTGAAAATTGAACAAATCGCGATCTTTTCCGACCGCGATTTTAACCTGCTATACTGTATTGTTCACCACTCTGTTCACCTAGCCTTAAAATATGTGTAATAATTTTTTTTTACAAGAAAATTCGTAAATTATAAATTTTACAATTAAGAAACAATTAATTTTGATTTCGTCTTATTTTTATTATTTAGACAAAAATGACAAATATAAATTTCATTTGTCTAAAAATTTATTGTAAAAAACAAATACGGAGCACAAAACAACACAAGATTTGTATTTAAAAAACACATTCATAACTCGTTCAGAAGCGTTCAAAATAAAGCGAACTCTTCTGAGATTCACTGATGTCTTGGCATTACTGCGCTACTGAAATACACAATTGCAAGGAAAGTGCATTCTTTTAGCTTGTTTTAAATTTTACGTAAAGTTACTCATTTCATATTCATCACATTCGTTGGTAATTTGTATTTATACAGTGTACATAAATATTTGTAATAGTTTCAAAATTATTTATTGTATAAAGCAAGTATTCTATCAGAATAGTTCGTAACACAGACAAATAAAAAAAGTTAACATACTAGTACATGTAATAGTAAAGCTATACGCTTTTTCAGATAAACACTTTTGCAGACAGACGCCCATCATTGAAATAACGTCGATTCTGAAATAAAACATGAAGCGTCATATTAAAAAACCATATCAAATGAATGATGTAAGGATAATTTGCAATGCCACTGAAAAAAATTCAAACTTTTCATTGCCAAGCAACTGTAGTATACTTACCAGGTCGACCTCGTCTATCCAAAAATTCCGGAAACTTCATGCCTCCCGTCTCTTCTGGGGCTATGTTTGATGAAAAAAAAATACCAGGAGTCCTGTATTATTTGCTCAGATTTGTAACCAATACAAACTTGACAGTGAAATAGTACAATATTGATTTTAATTTCATTCATTTCTGTGGAGAAGTTAATCACTAGATATCTTTGAAAACTTACTACACCCAATCCCTACAGGTAAATTACAGTTTAAAACCGTCAAAGTTAAAGTATTTATAGTATAAAATATTTGAAAAAATAAAAGCCTGTTTTTTTCTACAAGTAACTGAAAATATTTTTAAGAATGAAATTTAAGTTGTTAGAACTTGTGTCCGAATCTTTTTATACCCCCCCCCCTCCAACATGACAAGGAGCCCACAGCGGGTGTGACCGGTCGATGACTAGATAGTAAAGTGTCACCTATAGAACAAGAGGCCCATGGGCCACACCGCTCACCTGAGTAACCAGATTTCCTCTCTTCTTATATCTATTGTGGCCCCCTAATCCCCCCCCCACTACCCCCGTCTTGATTTTAATAATTTAGAATCTACACTACCCTAGGATGCCTCCACTTAAGTTTCAGTTTTCCTGGCCCAATGGTTCTTGAGAAGAAGATTTTTCCTATATATTTCTATATAAAAAATTGGATTCCCTATTTTGGCCCCGCCCTACCCCCCGGGTCATGATTTTAACAATTTAGAATCTACACTACCCCAGGATGATTTCACATATGTTTCAGCTATCTTTGCCCACTGGTTCTTGAGAAGAAGATTTTTAAAGATTATTCCTATGTATTTCTATGTAAAACTTGGATTTCCTATTGTGGTCCCGCCCTACCCCCCGGGGTCATGATTTTTACAACTTAGATTCTTCACTACCCCAAGATGCTTCCATATTATTTTCAGCTTTCCTGGCCCAATGGTTCTAGAGAAGAAGATTTTTAAAGATTTTTTCCTATATATTTCAATGTAAAACTTGGATTTCCTATTGTGGCCCCGCCCTACACCCGGGGGTCATGATTTTTACAATTTAGATTCTTCAATACCCCAATGTGCTTCCACATTAATTTCAACTTTTCTGGCCAACTGGTTCTTGAGAAGAAGATTTTTAAAGATTTTTTCCTATATATTTCAATGTAAAACTTGAATTTCCTACCCCCGGGGGTCATGATTTTAACAATTTAGAATCTACACTACCCCTGAATGCTTCTTCGTAAGTTTCAGCTTTTCTGGCCCAGTGGTTCTTGAGAAGAAGATTTTAAAAGATTTTTCCTATATATTTCTATGTAAAACTTGGATTTCCTATTGTGGCCCTGCCCTACCCCTGGGGGTCAAAATTTTTACATTTTAGATTCTTCAATACCCCAGGATGCTTCCACATTAATTTCAACTTTTCTGACCCACTGGTTCTTGAGAAGAAGATTTTTAAAGATTTTTTCCTACATATTTCAATGTAAAACTTGAATTTCCTATTGTGGCCCCGCCCTACCCCCGGGGGTCATGATTTTTACAATTTAGAATCTACACTACCCCTGGATGCTTCTTCATAAGTTTCAGCTTTTCTGGCCCAGTGGTTCTTGAGAAGAAGATTTTTAAAGATTTTTCCTATAAATTTCTATGTAAAACTTGGATTTCCTATTGTGGCCCCGCCCTTCCCCTTGGGGTCATGATTTTAACAATTTAGAATCTACACTACCCCAGGATGCTTCCACATAAGTTTCAGCTTTCCTGGCCGAGTGGTTCTTGAGAAGAAGATTTTTTAATGATCCCACCCTATTTTTGTCTTTTCTTGATTATCACCCCTTAGAAGGGAACCTGGCCCTTTATTTTTAACAATTTAATCTCCCCATCCCCAAAAGATGCTTTGTACCAAGTTTGGTTAAAATTGGCCCAGTGGTTCTTGAGAAGAAGTTGAAAATGTGGAAAGTTTACAGACCGACAGACGGACTACGGAAAACTGTAAATCCATTGCGCACACAAAGTTACGCATTGTTCTGCTTTATTCCCACCCTACCCATTATGCATACGTTTAAACCTGTTGATTGAAATGTTTTACTGCCAGGTACTTTATATTTTGTAGCTAAGAGTTGCAATTTCGCAATAAAAGGTTAAATAATAACTGCGCCTGCGATAACGGCGCATATCCAGCAGACTGCGCTGGGATATGCAGAATTGTTCTGCTTTATTTTCTTCAAATTCGTACTTCTCTGCACGTAAGCTGGGTATGTCAAAATTTCCTCATATATACATGGAGTGTAAATGGTGTAAATGGTAAATGGATCTTCACAATGATATCAATTTTTGGCCCAGAAAAGCAATTAAGGAATTTTTTGTTCAGGAAATAGCAACAGATATGCAAGAAACACACTGTACATGGAAGGTAATATTGTGAGATGGTAGATTGAGAACACGCAGATATAAAAGGAGAAAAAGTGTACTTTTCGTGCACAATGAAATAGACTTTTTAAAAATGTAAGACACTTAGCATGAAACGTATGGAGCATCTCAGTACACTTATGTCGGGGTATATATTTTGGAGAGCTACTGATCTGCAGCTTGGATAAATGTAGAAAAGTTGTAAGAACTTGTATTTAAACCTTTTGTGGAATATTTATAAGCAATTTTCTTTGTATCGCATTATTAAAAAAACCTGGACGCACAACAAATATCCCTGTTGTTAAGGGACTGTCCGTCTGTCTGTCTTCTGATTGATGACTAGTATGATGTTTGAAGAAGAATTGAATACACATTAGAGAAACATAATTTTACAAGACGCCAAATGTACGATTCGTATAATTGTTGTAAGAAACAAAATGAAGTTTATTTTTTGAAAACCTAAATATGGTATTATTAAATTTTCACGGCGATTCACATTTAAATTTAAAAAAATATTGTACATCATAACAACAACAAGCATTAATTTCAATACTGCGATAGTTAGACTCTCAAAATTAGAAGGTAGATCAGAGTTTTGTTTTACAAATGAAACAAAGCTTTCAAAATAATTCACACCTAAGACGAAAGACCAATATTCAGATTTAAAATTATGAAACAACCAGGATGGCAAGATTTTGAAAGTGAACATTTCACAGACTGTCTGGAAAACATCTATATATATTATAATTTATTTTATCACATTAAATGACAATAAATGACATTTCTATTAATAACCTGGTAGGTTGCCTGGTTGCCTGCTTGGAAGTTCTGCCGGAAGTCCGCTAATGTCAGGAAATTCTGGAATTGCCATGTCATCTGGCATCGATGGGAATAAATCTATAATCAACGTCAGTTAAAAATAGTTATGAATTCATCACAAAGATGATGATATAAGATGCTTCTTGGTTTTTTAATTGAAAGGGAAGAAAAGGGTAAATGATTTTAGTGAAGGTGGCACTTAATACCACAGAGTGAATAAAATTCAACACAACGATGATGATATAGGATACTTCTTGGTGTTTCAAATGTTAAGAAGATAAAGAAGTAAATGATTTTAGTGTAGGTGGCATGTAATACCATAGGGTGAATATGTTTTTAAAAAAAATTACACAAGAAATATTTGACGCCGTTGTGGAAATGAGCTGCGTTCTTACTTATTTTGAAATTACTTTAAAGATTTTTGTACATTTTTTTCTTAATTTTATACAGTATGTAAACGTGATTAAGTAAAATAAACATACGAGGGGTGATCGAAAAGTTCGCGATCTAATTGAATAACTTCCAAATAAGAAATGATATAGGGTTTTAGTATTGAAAATGTTTTAAAGTAGTCCTCTCTGACTTTAACGCGCATCTGCAACCATTCTGCCCATGCGCAGATCACGTGATATTTGCGGTCACGTGACATGTTCCTTAGTCTTTTGTCACAGAAGCTTAAAAAATTTTCAGACTCCTATATTTCTTACCATGCAAGTCATTTTTTGGAGCAAAATCGGTCTATTTGTCAGAAATGGCCTAATCTCGGCAATAGTATGGGTGGATAATGATATCCTTTTACAGAGTGAGCGTGGTGACCATCAAAACCCAAGTCCTCTATCTTTTGAGCGTCGTTTATTTCATGTGGATAGAGTATGGGTGCCTTCACTTTATCATACCTGATATGTTTAAAGTCTAAAGTAAACGATATTTTAGGGATTTGATAATTATACTTTTGTAAGGATATTCATTTATTTTTCTAACTGTGAGTTGGCGATCTTTCATATCAAATTGCTTAACAAAAGACACGTCTCTTTCCCAGTTTGCTTTCACTGGGCAACAGAACAAACATCATTGTTAAACATCTCCCTACCTTCACTTAAACAATCAATCCAATTAATGACAAACCTTCTGGTAAGTCTTTTGTCTTCATAAACCGTATACAAATTATTATTTAAACTTCTACAAAGGAATTTCCAAGATATACGTTTAATACTTTTCAGCCGTTCGTTTCTCGAATACTAATGAGTCAACAATTTTTTGTCACGAGTGACCTACATTAAGACGTCATTTTCAAATTGTGACGTCACAAACACGGTGAGAAACGTTCCATAACATAAGCTATTTATAGAACATGTGTATGACTTTATGTGTGCCAAATTTTTCATTTTAATCTGAAATTGTATTTTTGTTGATATAGAGATAGTTCGCGAACTTTTTGATCACCCCTCGTACACTTTATTCTTAATTCTTTAAAAAAAATTTGACAAACCTTACATGATTAAAATGAAGACGTTTGAGTAGTATTTATTTGATAATTAATCGTAAATGACCGTGCGACGTATTACTTGGCACTGGTTTTTTATAGAGATAGAGACAGAACAAACATCATTGTTAAACATCTCCCTACCTTCACTTAAACAATCAATCCAATTAATGACAAACCTTCTGGTAAGTCTTTTGTCTTCATAAACCGTATACAAATTATTATTTAAACTTCTACAAAGGAATTTCCAAGATATACGTTTAATACTTTTCAGCCGTTCGTTTCTCGAATACTAATGAGTCAACAATTTTTTGTCACGAGTGACCTACATTAAGACGTCATTTTCAAATTGTGACGTCACAAACACGGTGAGAAACGTTCCATAACATAAGCTATTTATAGAACATGTGTATGACTTTATGTGTGCCAAATTTTTCATTTTAATCTGAAATTGTATTTTTGTTGATATAGAGATAGTTCGCGAACTTTTTGATCACCCCTCGTACACTTTATTCTTAATTCTTTAAAAAAAATTTGACAAACCTTACATGATTAAAATGAAGACGTTTGAGTAGTATTTATTTGATAATTAATCGTAAATGACCGTGCGACGTATTACTTGGCACTGGTTTTTTTTCTTAACACTTTTATAACAATGTATCATAAAAGTTTATTTTTTTACTTTCCTAATTTATTTTTTTTAGTGCAGTGTTATGTTACCTGCTATAGGCTGCGGAGGGACCGCCGGGAGGTCCTGTCTAACCGCACACGTCATGTTGGTCATTGCAATGTCATCAATGGCTATCACGGTATTATCTCCATCGTGTTCAGCTTCAATTAATATCTATTTAAAGTAGTTAGTCATTTTAAATTTCGTATATAGATATGGAATTGGCATTATGGAAAAAGCAAATCTATATTTCCCCAACTGAGGGAAAAAATTCCCGAGGTAGCAAAGTTTGCAATATAAGGAGAAAAAAAATAAATCTCAGATCAAAATATTTTGATGTCATGAGAAACAATGAATTACTATTCAGAATCGACCACTGAGCTCACTAAACATTTTTAAAAAGGATATACAATGTACCATGAATTCTCTAGAAGTAGAGATGTTGACATGAGCTCTCCGCCACGATTTGGATGGGGCATCCTCCTTCCAGATTTGATTCATGTCTTGCGTTTCATGGTCCAAAAGATACACCGCCAGAAGTCCACTTCTGTTTGACTTGTAAAACGTAAAGGATAAACAAAAGGATCCATATTTGTTTGGTTCTCTAACGATGTGAGATGTAAACGTTGACAACATTCTCAGGTTTTCTTGGCTGAACAGGTAATTCCCTGTAACCAGAAAGAAGAAAAAATTATAATAATTTCATTCATATAGAAGGATTAACATAAAGATGGTTTACACAAGAACAGAAATTCTACATTTGAACAGACGGTGGCATGCTCTACACACGAACGATTTATAGAAAGAGGCAATTCAATTACAAATGAAAAAAATGTTACAATGATATCAACATTCCCGTTTAAAATCAACATTTTAAAAATTATATGGTCTATACGATGGCTTTGTTGCCGAATGAAATATATCTTTTTAGTTTAATGTTCACTGGCAATTAAAATCTACGGAAGGTAAAAGGAAATGAATCGTACTCACAGCTTTCGCCTATTTTATTGTAAATGAATTATGACAGAACTAACCTGTTTGATTGATTCCTTCCTCAGAGATCGAGCCCAATTTCTCATTTCTTACAGACCAGTCAAGTCTTGTATGCCAATCACAGGGAACTCCATCAAAATCACAGGTAAGCTGCAAAAAGTCTTTAAACGACAGAAAAAGATTACTGAATCATAAATCAGAGCTATACATTGACTTTTATATTTTACGGTTCTAGAACGATGTGCACATATGATTAATACGAGATTGAGAAAACAGAAATGTACATTACATAAATGCAAAAAAAAAAAATATTTTTCAACACTATAAGAAATTAAAAGATAAAACTTAGTACATTCTCCCTAAAGAGGTTAACCGAATTAACCACTTACAATCTCAAAAATCAGTACCATCGTAAGTTTGCATTTAACCCAAAAAGGAACTCCCTTAAAATTTAAATAAGCAATTCTTTTTATATGGCACATATACATCGAGATTAAAATATTTGAAATTATTTTAAAAAATTGTCCATAGATGTAGCTTGCATAGGAATGTAATATATAAAAAGTAACATTAATTACTCACCAACTTTCCTGGAATCTGAAAAGCAAAAGAAGTGTCCCAGTTTGGTTTTCTAAACGTTTCATCCAAATGTTTTCAATGATTTTCGTTTGTGGGGTTAATTTTCTTTGTTTTAAATATGTATGAAGAGACTCCTTTACTGAGTTTTCAAAATGTAAAAAAAACAACAAATCTTCACTTATTCAACCACGTTATAAAATTCCGCAAGTCAAATTATTTAAAAGCAAAATTACTAAAAATTTGTTCCTACGAAAATAAGTGATTTTATAGTAAATCCGTACATAATATTTTCATGATAATTTGTTTCTAAGAAAATTAGTGGTTTTACACAGTCATAGCCACTGTCAGAGTCTGAAAGTACCAAAATAATTCAAGTAACTTCTGGCCTGTCTTTGAATGGAGAAAATAATTAAACCAATTTAACACAGTCTAAATTTGTCAATTTTTTCCAAAATATGTTTTAAAAAACACAAAAAACCCAGCTACATATATGTTATAATGTTTTTGTATAAATTACAGAATGAAGACAACTTGTTTCATGTATAATTGTATCATAAACATTACCGTCGTGATTTCCTTCCATGACAAAACCCCCCATAACTGTAAAAAAAATATAGATACATGTACTAATGTTTCATATATTTTAAAAACTTTTTAATGTCTTCTTAACCTTCGATATGTTGACAAGTACAGAAATCAACACACAACTGGTTTTGAAAAAAGCAAATGTTATGTATATCAACTTCAATTATATTTATAAACTGAATTAATATGACTAAAGTCTAGTAGAGAAACGTTTTAGGTGAATATATAAGTATCATAAATGAGGTCAAAAAGCATTATGAAGCTCCCATGGACATTAACTGTACTTCTTTATGGTCGATCTGATTTACATTCCTTTGAAGCAGAATGTATTCAAAAATCTTCCACATGAGAAGAAAAAAAGCACTTGTGGCCTTCAGTTCAATACTTATATAGTAGTTTCATATATATTCAAATATTTAGATTATTAGTTTATTACTGATAATAGACGATGGAGACAAATACGTAAATGGTATTACAAACAAATTGACATTAGGTTTTCCATCGTTAACTTTTCCTATTTATGTAGTAATATTCCATTATCATCTGCATATGCGTATTCGTTACTCAAGAGCATCATCAAAAACAATATTTAAACCAGGTAGGCTTTTGACATATATGTAAGATTATGTAACAACGATTAAAAAAATGTTAAAAGTGAATTCTATTGTCATGGTAATGACATTTGAAGGAAATATATCTATTTCTGGGTCTTTTTTCGGCTGCAATTTTCCATGCTAAACGATAGGCCTTTGTTTTCTATACTAGAATTGACAAGAGAATTTTATCTATCTGATCAATATTTATGTTTAACGATGGATGTTCTCCTTTAATAGAAAGCAAATATTTTTTCACTCAGTCTCCTTGGCATCTGAACACATCTCTGCAATGTCCAGAGTATGTTTAATTACGGGGTAGAGGCGGGGATTATGATATGTACTTTTATTAAATTATTGAACAATGATAGATGTCTTAGGTCATTCAAATGTTCATTTTGTGGAAAATCGTATACTATCCTTGCTTCCATGAAATTGTCAAAAATTGGTTCAAACTCAGTATAACTAAAGCCAGCCCCTATTATTTCACCTACTAACGAAGTGAAATAGTAGGGGCTGGCTTTAGTCAGACTGGTTCAAACTCTATGAAACAATTTTCACACTTTCATGAGAAAATCACATATATCAAGCCTATAAGTTGAAACATTTTTGCTTCATTTTGAGTAATGTGCATTGAAGCAATAAAAAAATATCTGGTTTGTTGATATATATATATATATTATTATGGTTACAAGAACTGTCACGTACAGCACATTCACTTTCTCACACACACCCTCTCCCTCACACACAAAACACGCACCCTCACGCAATACGCACACACAAAAAAGAATTTTATTTAGAGTTACCTTCCGTTCCACCTCGTTGCAATCCCCAATTTGAGGAAGGGGGAGAAAATCCTCCATCTTCTCCTACCATCGGGGGGAAAATTTCCGCAAACCCTCCTCCCCCCGGAAGAGGCGATAAAATATCATCAAAACCTCCCGGTGTCCCCACCGTAGTGGTGCCCTCCTCAGCTTCCACGGCGAGGGAATCCCCGGGATCTCCGGTCTCTGATGACGTCATGGAGGCGGGATCTCCTACTGTTATTATTAGCTATTTTACTCCCTATATTTTTTTTTTCATTTTTTTTTCTTGCTATATGCAGTATTTTATAAACTTTTTTTCCCTCCAAAATAGGAATTTCACTCATCTGTTTAAATGAGCCAAATTAAACGTTTGCAATGACAAAAAAATTTGACGATTTTAAATAGATAAGTAAATATATGGTAAATTCAACAAATATGTAGATCAGAAGCTTCAAATATTTAAGGTAGATCAGCTAAAACTTCAAATATTATTCCTGGCTTTTAAATTACAAATAGTGTCTGTACTTGTTTAAAAATGCTGAGTATGAACCCATTACCAAGTTGTCTGTAAACCAGGATGCCTCCGCCAGCACCAATGCCCATTGAAATAATGGCCACAGACATAAAACGGAGGAAGACCAATGTCCTGTTTGGTTTCTTTGCCTCCAGTGGTGGCATTTGGTACTTAAGTTCTCCGTTGATACCATTAACACTACCTGAAGATGTGCACATTGATATTTTGTAAGAACAAAAATACTTTCATACACCGAGTAAGCGGAGTGTGTGATTTTTTCTGCAGTTATTATCAAAGTAGCAACGTAAAATCTCGTAGTAGAAAGAGAAAAGAAAGACATTTTATTTCTTTTAGTGTATAAATAATTAATCATTTAATGTAGGGTATAGTCCATGAAATATTTTATCATTGGTATGTATGTTATTGTAGTTTCATTGACGAAATAGCCACTAATACATGTAATAAATGTCAATAGAGGTGCTTTACATAGCGTTTTTTTCGAACTGAAAATGATAATGGTTTTCTCACATGTAAGAATAAAGGAGATAATATGAGTGGATGTATAATATATAAATAATGCTTAAGTTTTTTTTTTTTTTCAAACCGTCTTAGCCTCTAAGAGATGAAAGCATTGGTCGATTATGAAATTATTTTCCACGACACGGTATCCTCCTGTTGTACAATAGGAACATTTAAGACCGCAGAACATTAACTGGCAAAATTGGAAATATACAGCTTACGTCATTTCTATCTGTTACAATCAAAACATTCAGTGATAGACAACGAAATGGGCGGGTACAATTCGACGCGGACGTGTGGAAAACATCGGATTGAAATTGCAGATCGAAATTCATTTTCAATCCACCTGAGCTGTTTTCAAAGCAAAGAGTGAATGTATGATCCAAAAATCAACTATATTTCAACGCCCAAATACATATTGTTTGAAGTTCACATTAATATGAGTTTTAGCTTATAATTTTAAGAACGCGAAAGATCATACAAGACAAAGATTATTTTTCAGGAGATATTTGATAATTCTAGAAGGTGGGGGGGGGGGGTTAAAAAATTGTCGAGTCAGGTCATGGCTTAACATGACAATATATTTTACTTTTAGGATTATAAGAGTGCATGAGTTTTATACTTATTCTCACTGAAAACTGTTGGACAACTTTATTTCAAAATCGTTCAACCCCCCACCCACCAACACAAAGATATACATAAATTTACCAAACAGAAATGAAATATTTGTCCCTTAAATATTTATTAATTTAAAACACTGGACAAAAAAAAATTCAAACTGTACCAAAATTGAAATTATTTGTCTTCTGGGTCAATCAGTAATAATGTGCCTTCTAGCGTAGCTGAGGTGGATTGAAAATGAATTTCGATCTGCAATTTCAATTCGATGTTTTCCAAACGTCTGCGTCGAATTGTACCCGCCCATTTCATTGTCTATCACTCAATGTTTTGATTGTAACATAGAAATGACGTAAGCTGTATATTTCAAAATTTGCCAGTTAATGTTCCGCGGTCTTAAACATCGGATAGAAACAAAGCGTAAAATTGATACGAAATCTTAGAACAACAGAAAAAATAAATCAGATTACTTTTTAACAGAATATTTTCTATTGAATAACGTTAATGGATTTTTGTTGCAATCGTCCAGTGAAAGGTAGGGTTTTGCAAAACAAAAGTATCAACTTATAGTGATTACCTGTGGCTTTAATGGTGTGTTTCACAGCTTCAGGAGCAGTTCTGGTGTTATCCCCCTGTGTAAAGAATTAAAAACATTGATTTCATTACTCACAGAATAAAATCCGATTAAATTGTCTCAAGTTTATATTTCTCTCTCTCTCTCTCTCTCTCTCTCTCTCTCTCTATATATATATATATATATATATATATATATATATATATATATATATATATATATATATATATATATATATATATATATATATATATATATATATATATATATATATATATATATCACACACACGCACACACAAATCATGTGTCAAAATTAAAGGATTCAAGAAAAAATCTTTTTATTGCTTAATAATTTCATCCGGAACTTATAAGTTCAATAATGAACTCTGTTGAGCATATACTGAAGTCCAGATTTTAAATAAATTAACTTAATTCCGAAATAATTCAAAAAAATCTTATAATCAAACTAAATTTTCATTGTCTTTGTATTTCAATAGAACGATCTGTATTCAAATCAAAGTATAAAAATCAATAAAAGAAAATTGACGACAATTCAATGTGTAAATGATGGACTAAAGATAATTATGAAGAACGTCAGTAAGCATTTGACTCAATGACTTTTATTTCAAACTCACTGGTGAGTTGACACATGAAAGGAAGGAACTATTGTTAATTGTTAATATGATAATAAGAAACTCAGAATCATACGGAGTTTATATTTCTCAGTCGATTCGAAAAGGAAGGGCAAGTTCTAAACATTTTCTAAAACAAGCTAAGTTATTGACAAACAAGTTAATGAAGCAAGAATATCAACAATCTCAAAAAGTCATAATTTCGTAATTTCTATGGTCGAAACAACGGTCTTGTGAGCAAATGCAATTTGTCATTTAGTCATATGCTGACTTAATTTTTTCATAGTAATATTAGTCATATGCTGACTTACTTTTTCCATAATAATACCTTGTTAGCAAATACAATTTATCATTAAGTCACATGCTGACTGATTTTTTTTTAACTGTTAGGCCATTATTTACACACTGAGCTGTCCACTGATTTTTCCGTTTTTTCACGAACATGGGAGGAGATCACGGCCGGTGTGACCCTCGGGCAGGAGATGCTCACTCCTCCATGGCACCTTATTCCCAGCTCTGATGTTTTGGAGGTCTGTGTTTGCTGTGCTACTATTTTGTATTGTTTAATGGGCTTTTGAGCTGGAAAACTGTTCCTTATCTCCACATATTTCAATCAAAATATTGTCTTAGAGAAAAGTGTGTCAATAAGCAAGATAATTCTGTTAGATTCAGGCGTAAATGAGTTTTTTCCCCAAAGTTTTTTTTTTTCTAAATTGAAATAGTTTTTTTTTTCTAAATTGAAATCAGATTCTCCAAATGGATTGGTAACTTGTATGTCTACATAATCATTTTGCACGTAGGCATAATAATTATGAACTGAGTATGTTAACACACTTTTCATACCTTTTGACATGATGTATCTTGCATATGGGACAAAAATATTTCACTATAAATTTTCCGTCATTAATTTTGCGATTGGTAATTTATTATTTATTCAGAAACCTGGCATTTCTGTATTCTGTTAGAAAAAAAACAGATTTTTTTGTTTAATTTTCAAAATTATTTACAAAGATTTTATGATTTTAAAAACATTAAGATCCTAATTTTTAATACAAATTTCCACCTCTATGCATTCCAAAAAAAGAGCTGCAAAGAATATTACAAAGAGTATTGCTAATTTTGATTGCATGGTTCGAATTTATATTTAAGTGAGCTTTTCTAATCACCACTTGTCCAATGTCCTTCGTCCGTCGGTTTGTAAACTTGTAAACATTTTCATCCTCCTCTCAAGAAGCATTAAGCTAATTTTAACCAAAGTTTTTACAAAACATACTTAAGTAAAGGGGAGTTAAAATTTCAGTGAAGGATCAAGTTCACTTTGTAAGGGCAGACACTCACGAAAAGGCAAAAATAGGGTGAGGTCATTCAAAAGTCTTCCTCTAAATAACTAGTAGACCAGAAAAGCTTAAACTTATGTGGACGCTTCCTGATCGATATTGTGTTTTATTTAATATGTTTAAATTAAATCCACCGGTGGTAGGGTAGGTCCAGAATCTTTTTTTACATTGAAATATTTAAGAAAAATTATCTCTCGAACCAGAGCAAAAAAAAAAGTTAGAACTTAAAAGCAAGCTTTCTGGGGGCAGTGTAGATTATTTGACAAATCATAACCCCTCTGGAGGTTTCTTTGTTTGTTCTTCAACGTCCCTCTCAAGAATGTTTCACTGGTTTGGTGACACCACCACTTACCTGTGGAAAGCTACAAATTTTTATATATGCTTGGGACTCAAGGTTATATTTCGTGCCAGCACCTACTGCAACACGGGTCCTGGTTTATACAGTCTCATCCAAAGGGCCGGTCTCCATGTTTCACAGTTGTATTCGAACCTGCGACGTAAGGATCAACTCCTTACTTCGCGACTCTAGAGCAGACGCTCTTACAACAGTATCATGATGTCACCCTAACCCCTGGAGATAGGGCGTGACTCAAAATTCAAAACTCAACTCAAAAGGGAATTAAAATTTTACATTGAAATATAATGGGGAAAATCCTTAAAAATCTTCTCAAGAAGCATTTGGCCAAAGAAGCAAAAACTTATAAGGAAGGCTAGAACTGTTTAAAACATTGATTCAGGGGTGTGGATGTCGACAATTTTACATTGAAAGATAAGGTTTGATGTTATTTAATTTAAATTTTACTCATCAAAGTTAACAATCTTCAAATATGAAAGGTTAGAGGCATTATTGGTAGATAATTATTGACTGGTTAACATCTATCTACTGTATTTTAATTATTAAGACAGGCACTATTGGACATTTCAAAATGAGTGTCACAGTAATAATTGAAAATTTTAATAGTTTACTCCATATACCTGATAAAGACACATAGGCCAGCACTGATTTGGCAAGTCAACGAAGGATGCTTAC